TTTTAGCACAATTTAATCTGCATTTGATAAATAAAAGTACATTTTAATGGTACATTTGCATGGTTCTGTACCACAGTTTTCACACACACATGTACACACAAGCACAGACACACAAAATAAATGTTTCCTGTGTATCAACTCATCATATTAGAATGGTTTCTGAAGGATGATAAGATACTGTCGTAATGATGCTGATAATTTTTAATCACAGGAATAAATCTAAAATTAATCCACAGTCAATAAAAAGCTATTTATATTTTTCAATATAACCTAGTGAGCAGATGACTTTTGAATGGTAATGCATAAGTAATGGATATGAAAATACATACGTAATGGTGATGCATCTTAGAAATGGCAAACTTTTGAATGGTAATGCAAACGACATTAATGTCATTTTTATAATTGTTTTAGGGTGCTTTCACAGCTATAGACTTTTACTTTTTGTTATTGGTGCAGTTCACTTTCACATGGCAGCTTTTCTAAATTAATCTAGATTAAAATGGCTCTTTTGAACTCTGTCAAAGGCATTCAGAATATGTGTGCTACCCAAATAATAAGTGTCATGATTACCAGCAATCGCTAACCACCAAAGGTCGCTGGTAAACATTCACACTCCTTGAACTACATATCTGCCATGTTATGGACTACAACACCCAGTCAGGCCACACACACAACCGGTTCAAGATCCAGACTTATTAAACTCTCACAGTTGAAGCCACTCACACATGTTGCTGAGTATTGTTAAGCTGTTGCTGTCCTTACGTAAGCGTTTTTCTTGTTTCCTGTTGCCTGTGTTTTTTTACTTTTGGACTGTTTATCGTGTTTTGACCCTTTTCTGCCTGCCCCGAACCTTTTGCCTGTTTTATTGGATTTGCTTCTGGATTGCCTACTACACTGTTTATACTGGTATTTGACCCTTGCCTGATTGACTATTCTTATAATAAAGCTGCATTTGGAACTACCCCAGTTTGCATAGCATCCCTTCGCAACAATAAGTCTTTGAGAACAGGTTTCTCAAGCCAGGTGGCGAATTAGACCAGGGGTTCATCTCCTGTTTCCAGAATGCATCACAAACTGTTTGAAAAAATTGCTCTTCTATGGTAATTGATAATGAAACTAAATGATGTTCAATAAAATGTACTTGTGTTTACTAACTGTTTATTCAGTTAAATATAAACTTTGAACTCTAGGCCTACGTAAGCTTCAAATAGAGATTTTTATTTTTTTTATTACTTTTATTATTTTTGATGATCTTAATCAGACTAAAGTCATAACTGAACTACTCAGAAATGAAATTAAAGATGCACTAATATATGCATATGTGGAGCATATATTAGTAGAATTACTTAAGTAAACACTGCAGTCAGATTATTACCATCATGTACTGTAGGACTTTTTGCCATATTTTCCAACAAGATTCACACACGCAGCTGTCAGAAATGCACTACACGCACTCACATCACAAAATGTGGAAGTTTTTTCTTTCCATTTGGCGTGCCAGTTTAGGTGAAATTGCCAAACTGCAGTTAAAGTCAGGCATCCTGCTGATTTGATTCAGAAGGGCACTTTTTTTTTGTCAAACGGCTCACCAGTCAGGTTTACATCTGCACTAAAATATCAAGGTGAAAGTCATCATAGCTCCCTGCCCAACTTTGAGAATAGATTAACAGCAATATTTTTTTTTTTATCGAGTCTTGTGTTAATGCAGCATGTTAACTACTACCACTAACATACATAGATATATACACACACACACATGTGTATATATATATATATATATATATATATATATATATATATATATATATATATATATATATATATATATATATATATATATATATACATACATATATACTATAGTACAATTAGACAGCATGCTTTCACTTTTATATTCGAAATATAAAATGCACTTTTACCGGTAGAAATTTCTCTCTATTAACCAACAGTTGGAGAGGTGTACCTAATAAAGTGACAAGTGAACATGTACATGCCTATATTACATATCCATAATACACTGTGATATAGGTTGGTTTGTTAGTTTATTAAGTCATATTGCTTTCTTACTACAACAGAACCAGTCTAGAGTTTGTTTCAACTGATCTGAGACCACCCCATTTAGCTAATCTTGGACCGATAGTTTTGACACAGATCAGAGCGCAGTTGCAGGTTTCATATATGCCCAAATAAACCGAGCTAAAGGAGCAAATGTGCCAGGTTCCAAAACAAAAGTAGGGTATAAAAAAGCACCCTGAATCTTCTCTTTTTAATTTTCAAAACTTCAAGATGCAGCATCTGTTGTCTTGTTACATAGAAACTCAGTTTCTCCATCCATCATCCCTTTCTCCCCTTCTCTCTCTCTCTCTCTCTCTCTCTCTCTCTCTCTCTCTCTCTCTCTCTCTCTCTCTCTCTCTCTGTCCCATTTTCCAAATGATATGTGCATAAATTTCTCCAGTGTCATAATCCTGAGAGCAGAAGCGTGCAGGTCTGGTCTCATCTTGTCTGGCCTTCGCTGGCTGTTTGGAGGCCGCACAGATTAAAGGACTGATCCCACTTCCACTTTCATTTAAATGACCATTAGCCAAACAAAAAAGGAGGCCGGTTGCAGCAGCAGGCCAGGCTGATTGGAATTCCAGCGAGTCGCACCACCTGTCGATACCATGATTTCCTGATTCATGAATGCATTCTGGGAGCCACAGCATTTTAGCTAATGGTTCTGGGTGTTGGAGATGTTTGGAGAAGGTGGGGTCGATGAGAGGAAGGATTGAGGAATGCAGGAGAGATAGAGAGATGGTGCTTTTGATTGATGGAGAAACGAGTGTTGGGATTGAGCTCTCATCCATCATTCCTTGTGGAGACGCATGTTTAAAAAGTCATTTTCATTAGAGGAGAGAGAGAGAAAGAGAGTTTACAATCATTCACATACTCACAAACATACATATGCTCTGTCTTAGATTCACCTTTTTTCACTTCAGACATTATTAACATTTTGCTTTGTCTTTTTCCTAGAATGCCTCAAGGAAATGCACTGGTTTTCTCTATCGAGTCACCTTGTTTGATTAGCACAGAAGCAAATGATAGCACTCGGAAAGTGCTGGAACTAGATTTGCATATCTGTGCTCGGTTTGGTTGGTTGGAAAAAAATAGTTGTTTCGTTCATTCGTTTGTTAATTTGTTCATTCATTCATTCATTCATTCATTCATTCATTCATTCATTCATTCATTCATTCATTCATTCATTCAAGTTGTAATTACAGTGGTCCCTCACCATAATGCAGTTCATCTTTCATGGTTTCGCAGTTGAGCAGATTTTTTATTTATTTATTTTTTTACTGCACATTGTGTTCTGCGTCCTGATTGGCTGTAGGCCTTGTGTCTTGTACAGTACAGAATGCGTTCAGTTTGCCAAATTTACATAAATCTTCAACGCTAGCAGTGTGACTCTGAAGTGCTGTACTGTATGTTTGCAAGTTTTCTCCCCAACAAACCCCATAATGTTGACGAAATGTTCTGCACCATCAAATGCACCTGCGGTAGCACCATAAAGCTGGGAAAAATGCTAATCATTGAACTAAAAGTTGGACTTCTGAACATGCTAAAGAAATGTAGAAGTTACGCAAATGTTTAAACAAGAGAGAAATGTGTGAAAATGTCAATTCATATTTAAGAAAAGTGTATAAAGTGTGTAGTGAGGGGTTTTACAGCCTTAAAACATATATAATAAGTGTAAAAAAAAAAAAAAAGCTGACTACTTTGTGGATTTCACCTATTGGGGGCTAATTTTAGAGCATAACTGTTTTAGATTGTTTATGTTAAAGCTGCTTTACTTTCTTGAGACAAAAAAGTGCAAAGCCATATTAAAATAGGGATTTTATTATATTCATTTTCAAAGTTGAGCATGCCTTCAAGAATAGATGCTTAATTTTATTCTGTACAAAGGGCACAATATTTACATTTTTGAACATTTTCTTTATTGTGATATAACAAAAATGTGCAATATAATACATCACAATCATATTTACATATTTGTTTTCAGTTTAAAAGAAAATCAACAATAATAAAAAAAGAGAAGGAGAAGATAAAAAAGAAATGAAAAAGGAGGGTATTCTTTAATAAAAAATATTAAAACTAGTTGTTTTAATAATTAACATATTATTCTAGAAAAGACACTAGGAAAAAATGAAAAAATCATCCATAAAAGGCATCCACCATCATCAATATGAGAATGGTTTGTTTTATTAAATCTCTGGAAATGGGGGAATATGTAGATAGGTCGAGTCAGTCTCCAATCATTTCATCTTTTCTGCAGTATTTACTTTTAATCCATTCTGTGATTTTTTTGTGATGTTTATCCATAATCTAGTTAAATAATTTAACACAATTAACTAGCTTTACTGAACTTACTAAAGTTGTATGTTTTTTATTAACATACCCTACAAAATTATCCTTATCCTTAGTGTTTTCATGCTTTCCAGAACAAAATTTAACCATTCTTTAATCAAGATACGTGTAAACTAAATCTCAAAGAAAATGTAATGTTCGTAATTGAGGATTTGTTGATTAAGACAAAAAAAAAATGAACACATTTCCTGACCTTTTGACTGATTTAGTTTTTAGAACTTATTTATTGTAAGTACTTTTTTTATAACGCAATACCTAATTTGTGTTCCTATTTTCTTCTTAAATAAATTTATCTTTAGTTAATGTTTAGATATTTTAGTGGAAAAGAACAACAATAAAAGAAAAAATGAAATTAGCTTAATAAATGCGCAATTTGTAAACTTTATATTTTCTACATGTATTTATATGTAGTATTTTTAAACTTCAGAGTTATCAAATGAATAGTCAAAAATGGTGTACCCACAACTGACATGAAAATAAGTTTAATTAAAATCTGAACTTTTAATCTGCTCTGAATTTATTGACAAGTTGGAAAGCACTCTAACTACTGAATTGCTATTGAATTGTTTTATTTTTTTTCCCTCATTTTGTGTTGTTAGTGAGCGGTGGGGTGGTTTTGGGCCCCACGTTAGGCCTGAAGAAGTCCAGCTCACTGGAGAGTCTACAGACTGCAATGACCGAGGCCAAGAAGAACGAGCTGCTGCCCTTCCACAGGCCCCGCCCACACATAGTGAGAGGGCGGGGCTGCAATGAGAGCTTCCGTGCAGCAATCGACAAATCATACGACGGACCGCCAGAGGATGATGACGGTGAGCAGAAATTCAAATACATTTTAGTTAAAAGTCACAGCTTTTATTTCTGGCCCAGTAACGAAAAATAAAACTATAAGAGGAAATTATAATATGATATAAATATTGTTTTAGCAAAAGGAGAGAGTATAAAAGCAAATATTTAAGTTAAGGCATGGGATGATAACCAGTTTCAAGGCTTACCACGGTTTGGAAAAGTCAAGGTTTAAAAAAACACTAAATTTTCTGTTATACCTTTCCTGAGGTATGTGGTACATTCCTAAGTTTTTTTTTTTTTTTTTTTTTTTTTTTTAATGTGTTGTAAAGAGATTTGCATTTTTTAAACTAAAGAAGAGAGCAGAAGTCAATTATTTATTTTAATTATTTAGGCTGGCATGTTTATTGTTACAAAATATCATAAATGTTTCATAAAAAATGCTAATTGTTTAATAGGGGATTATTTTATTTTATTTTATTTTATTAAACCCATAAATTTAAAAACAACTTATTTTAGAGCAGTAATCCTAATACTGTGATACCATAAAACTGTGATATTTTTATCCAAGGTTATCATTCTGTCAGAAGCTTATACCATTAAGTTGGTAGGATTTGGCTAGAAATACAGTAAAAATCAATTAATACCATTTTAAGATGCAGTAAAACTACAATTTGAATGTTGAAGGTCTAAAATAAATGTTTTATATATATATATATATATATATATATATATATATATATATATATATATATATATATAAATGTTTATATTTACTGTACTGAAACACATTTTAAAAACATTTAATGAAGCATTATTACAGGTAATGTGAGTTTTTGAACAAATAAAAAAAAAAAAACTAAAGAAGAAAAAAGACTAAATGACCTAAACTTTAATTAAAATATCAAATGTTATCAATGTGTGTGTACAGCTGAAAAATCACATGTACAGAAGTATTCGCAGCCTTTGCCGTGAAGCTCTAAATTAAGATTAGGTACATTCTGTTTTCACTGATCATTCTTGAGATGTTTCTGCAGCTTAATTGGAGTTCACCTGTGGTAAATACAGTAGATTGGACATGATTTGAAAAGGCATTTACATGTCTATGTAAGGTCCCAGTACATGTCAAAGCACAAACCAACCGTGAAGACAAAGGAATTGTCTTTGGACCTCAGAGACAGGATTGTCTCGAGGCACAAGGCTGGAGAAGGTTACAGAAAATATTATCCTGCTCTCAAAGTTCCAATGAGCACAGTGGCCTCCATTATCTGTAAGTAGAAGATGCTTGGAACAACCAGGACTCTTCCTAGAGCTGCCCGGCTATCTAAGAGTGATCGAGGGAGAAGGGCCTTAGTCAGGGAGGTGATCAATAACCCGATGGTCACTCTCTCTGAGCTCCAGCGTTCTTCTGGATAGAGAGGAGAACCTTACAGGACAACCATCTATGCAGCAATCCACCAATCAGGCCTGTATGGTAGAGTGGCCAGACGGAAGCCACTCCCTGCCTCGAATTTACTAATAGGCATCTAAAGGACTCTCAGACCATAAGAAAATAACTTCTCTGGTCTGATGAAACTCAAATTGAACTCTTTGTAGTGAATGCCAGGCGTTACGTATGGAGAAAACTAGTTTTTTCATTCGATAAAAAAAATTAACTAATTAATCACACTTTTTTTTTTAATTAATTGCGATTTATCGTGATTAATCACATTTAAAATACTGAACCTTGTAAATTTGGCTATTCAAATGTAAAACTAATGTAAACGCAAGACAAAAACTATTTAAATTCAAAATATAATTGTTTATTAGAATTTTTGTTTTACTTGCAACACAGATTTCTTCATGTAAACAACATACCCACAAAAAACTATCAAGATCCCGGCTTGACAGCCATATTTATTACAGAAATTAAAACACAGGCATGTTAATGCCATTTGAATTTCAAAACAATCAATGCCAATAAAACAACATTGATTTCCATGTTGGATTCTAAGTGGACTGCAAAAAAATGCCAAAATACAGGCATTACAGATATGGAAAATGGAAAATTATAATAATAAACTATTGAATACAAACAGTTGCACTTATTGTAAAGTTTTATTGCTGTGAGTTGAGAACATTAATTATAGAGTAGAAACAATTTTGCTTAATCCTCCTTTACATTTATCCAGTTGCTAAGACTAGAAGTATCCTGCAAATGCACAGAGACTCCTAAATGCCTGCAAATGAATGATAATCTCTCGCAAACCGGTCGTTATATACATTGCACACCCCTCTCAACCGCAGCCCTCCTAGCACTTCAGGTATGTCGCACCCAACTCACCCCCATTGTCCTTCAGGTACGTCTCGTGCACACACACCCCTTCTCAGATACGTCGCTCACTCCACCCCTGACACCCTTCAACGAGCCTGACACAGACACACAGACAGACACACACACAACGCGCTGGAGCGTCTCCCTTCAGATTAAACACGCATGATCGGGTTCATCAAATTTGCTTAAACTAAGCGTTCTAAAGTATTACTGTATTTCACAAGGATTCTGACACAACAACGCGAAGTAAACGCTTTCGTTGTGTTTAATGAGGAAACACGCTAAACATGGAGGGCTCATGCTGGAAGGCAGAGTAATGCCCTGTCTTTGACAGCTCGCTTCTGCACCAGAGACTTTCTGAGTACATTCACATAAGACACCAATACTCCGATTTGAATATGATTAAGATTATACTCTTATTAAAAGTCTACCATGTAGCCTAAGCAGCGATTTTGTTACCTTAAAGGAACACAGAGTCACGAAATGCGGAGGATTTTCTTTCTGTACGCCATGCGATATCAACTTACAACAGAGGTCGAAAGTTAAAAATGAAACACCTGAAGTTGCTTGAAACTCTGGATAACCTGTGATGCAACTAATTGTTTTATCCTAAAACTTGCCTTCAAAAAGTGCTTCCTTGGTCTTATCCACATTTCTTGCATGTTGAACACACGTCCACTACAACAGGTAGTAAAAAAAACCCTGCAACTGCGTTAATTGTTTTTAAACGCGATAATTATTTAAAATTAATCACATGCGTTAACGCACTAATTTTGACAGCGCTAGAGAAAATTTAATTAATTATATATATTATTCAGCTCTAAGAAATTTTTTTATCATTTCACTGGAAACAATTTCAGATAGTGTTCAGGTTTTCTGGATACTGGATAATTATGTATGTTTGAAAAAAAATGCATATATTTGTTTTATTTGATAACTGTCTTATTACAATTATTTCAGATTTGTTGTGATTGAAAATCTGAGTTATTTCATCAAATATTTTTTTTTCAAAAACTTCTGAAGTTAAATCATTGGTACCATGTTGTCTAAAAATAAATATAAGCATGTATGATTAGTTTATTCCTCTGTATTTTAAGCCTTGCATGGAAGTTAAGTATTTTAAAACCGTATTTTAAAGAATACAACTAAAATTAAGCTTTGCACTGTAAAAAAGCTATGCATTGTAAATCCAAAGAATGTTCAACTGTACTCTCAGTTGGGTCATTTTATAACTTATATCAGCTTTAGGATTATCGGATAAATACTGTAGATGTTGAACTTTAAAGCATCCTTGTTGAATACAATTACTCATTAAAAATAAATAAATAAATAAATAAATAAATAAATAAATAAATAAATGGTATGTGAATAGAATATAATAATAAAACAAATATTAATAAGAGAACACAGATTTTTTTTTAAAAGTTGCTATTTTCCCTTTGTTCCCCATGGCCTTCAGTAAGTGTGTATCTGAACATGATGAGACTCAGGTGCTACATCAGTATTGGTAGTGATTGTGTATGTGTGCGAGTGAAGTCAGAGTGTGGCTGTTGAGAGAGAGTAATTGAGAGTAAAGTGTTTGGCTTTGTCCCTGTCATGTGCTTCCTCATCCCACACACTGGCCTAATTGGCCCTTCCGTGAGACGACAGACTACAGACATGTGGCGAAAGAAGGAGAGAGTGTGAGAGAGGAGAGGGGTTCTTCATTATGGTCAGCGCCAACAGATACGGCACAGCTGAAGACTTAAGATCACGTCTCATGCACACAGACACGCACACATCTCATTTCACTATTCGAATTTCCTGTTCATGGAAATCAAGATAAAACTAGATTTTTTCTGTTGTAAGACTTGCTCTGAAATTTCTAACTTAGATGTGGTTCGACAGTGCAACTCGGAATGACCTAGTTCTGAGTTCGCAGCTTCAAAACAAACTCATTAGCGCAAATTATCAGGTTATTTTTTCATTTGCTTGTCGACATGTGATTACATCTGCTGTTTACCATGATGTGGAGATGCCACACATACACTTACTGGTGCACAGCACACACACACACACACACACACACACACACACACACACAGACAGAGAGATCTGCTGGTCAAGAAAACAGCAGCAGCTTATTGCTAATTACTGAGGACAGTAATTAGGCACAAAGTGTTCCTCTCGCTTCTCATTACTGTCCCTGTTGTGTGATGATAATCTGCATGTGTTCAAAGAACAGTTTGAATATCATGTTGTGACTAACCACTATGTGTGTCTGTATATGTGATTGTATACAGTACATGCATGGGTAACACTAATGGTTCGTTAGTTAAGGTTTAATGCATTTACGAACATTAATAATGTAAAGTATGAATAATCTTAAAAAGCATTTATTAATCATAGTCCAACATTAACTAATGCATTATTAAAATCCAAATTTGCGCTTGTAAACAATATTTAATGCTCTGTGAGTTATCTTAACTATTTAACTTTAACAACATTAACTAACATTAACAAATATGAATAAATACCTTAATAAATGTATTACTTGTAGTTTGTTCTTGTTAGTTAATAGATTAACTAACATTAACCAATGGACAAGGCTAGACAAAATCTGCTACAGTTTAAGCTATTTCTGCGCAGAATTTTGAGAAAATATGTGGATTTATGTGGAACGATTTTGGGGTTATCGTAACTAAAACCTGATGGATCGAGTAAAAAAAAAAA